ATAATATTCCATGGTGTACATATACCACAATTTGTTAACCCATTGATGGATTGATGGGCACTTGGGCTATTTCCATGTCTTGGCTATTATGAATTGGGCTGTAATAAACATTCTGGTACAAATGTCTTTGTTGTAAAATAATTTTTGATCATCTGGGCATATACCTAGTAGAGGAATTGCAGGATCAAATAGCAGGTCTATTTTTAGATCCCTAAGTGTTCTCCAAACATCTTTCCAAAAGGAACATATTAGTTTGCATTCCCACTAGCGGTGCAGATGTGTTCCCTTTTCTCCACATCCACATCAACATGTCTGGTTTTGGGATTTTGTGATGTGGGCTAATCTTATTGGAGTTAGATGATATCTCAAAGCGGTTTTTTTGCATTTCTCTTATGATTAAGGATAATGAGCATTTTTCATGTATCTGTAGGCCGTGCACCTGTCTTCTTCAGAGAAGTTTCTCTTCAAGCCTCTTGCCCACCCTGAGATGGAATCACTTGTTCTTTTCTTGCTAATACATTGGAGTTCTCTGTGGATTCTGGTGATTAAACCTTTGTCAGAGACATAACCTGCAAATATCTTCTCCCATTCTGAGGGCTGTCTGCTTGCTTTATGTACTGTGCTCTTGGCTGTGCAGAAGCTTTTTAGTTTGATCAGATCCCAGTAATGGATTTTTGGTGTTGCTTCAATTGCCCGGGGGGTCCTCCTGATAAAATATTCTCCCAGGCCAATTTCTTCAAGTGTTTTCCCTGCACTTTCTTCTAGTATTTTTATAGTTTCATGACTTAAGTTTAAATCTTTTCTCCAGTGAGAGTCTATCTTCTTTGTTAATGGTGAAAGGTGTGGGTGGGTCTAGTTTCAGTCTTCTACAGGTCGCCAGCCAGTTCACACAGCACCATGTGTTAAATAGGGAGTCTTTTCCCCCACTGAATGTTCTTGATTGGCTTATCGAAAATCAAGTGATGGTAAGTAGCTGGGTTCATCTCTTGGTTCTCTATTCTGTTCCATAAATCTACCTCTCTGTTTTTGTGCCAGTACCGTGCTGTTTTGATCACTATCGATTTATTGTATAGTCTGAGCTCTGGTAGCATGATTCCTCCTGATTTGTTTTTATTTCTGAGTAACGTCTTGGCTAATCGCAGTTTTTTTCTGATTCCATAGAAAACGAAGTATTATTTTTCAAGGTCTTTAAAGTATGACAGTGGTGCTTTAATAGAGATTGCATTAAAATTGTATATTGCTTTGGGTAGTTTGGACATTTTAACAATGTTGATTCTTCTCAGCCATGAGCATGGTATGTTTTTCCATTTGTTAACATCTTCAGCTATTTCCTTTCTCAGAGTTTCATAGTTCTCTTTATAGAGATCTTTCACATCCTTTGTTAGGTAAGCTTCCAAATATTTCATCTTCTTTGGCACTACTGTGAACAGAATAGAGTCCTTGACTGTTTTTTTCAGCTTGACTATTGTTGGTATATATAAAGGTTACAGATTTGTGAGTATTGATTTTGTAACTTGAGATGCTGCTGTACTCCTTGATCACTTCTAAGAGTTTTGTAGTTGAATCCCTGGGGTTTTCCAGACATACAATCATATCATCTGCAAAGAGTGAAAGTTTGATCTCCTCTGTTCCATTTTGATACCCTTGATCACCTTCTCTTGCCTGATTGTGACACCTAAGACAGTAGATGACATTTTAAAGTCATCATTTGATACAAAGAAAGATACAACTGAAACTGGGAAAGCGTTCTTGCTTTTCAACCTCTTATTGCTGTGAATCTGCATTCTCCTACCTCACACAAGTCAAGATGCCTGTAAGGACATAAAGGGCTATTATCTATCTAGAGGATCAGCTGAAACTGCTAACCTCTGTGCTGCCACCAAATACTTAAATCTTTCCAACAAAAAAGCAGACACAACAAAAATCACTAACTGGTTAGTTGCCTTTAAAATTAATAAACAATTTTCATTTTTTGAAATTAAGTACATAATAAATAGATTTTTCAAAATAATGTTCATTTTTAAGTATATCTAATTGAAGTTTCTTGACTGTGGCCTTATTTGATTATAGCTAAATTAATGCAGCCTTCCAACACGAGAAGGTTCCCCACTCCTTTCCCCTAAAAGTTCCCCACTCTTCCATAAACTTAGCAGCTGAAAACAACACAGATTCATTCTCTCACAGTCCTGTAGGTTAGAAGTCCAATGGGGGTCTCACTCGGCTAACATTAAAGTGTCCATGGGACTACCTTCCTTTCTGGAGGCTACAGGGGAAGATCTATTTCCTTGCTCCTTTAACTTGTTGGCAGAATTCAATTCCTTGCAGTTGCAAGACTGTGCGTCCAGGTTCTTTGCTAGCTGTCAGCTCAACTCAGGGCCATTCCCAGCTTCTAGAGGCCACAGCATTTCTTAGCCTGAGGGCCCTTCCTCCATCTTCGAAGGCTGAGGCCTTGAGTTTCTCTTGCCTCTTCTTCCATCAAATCTCTCTGACTGTTCTACCCTCCTCTCTCTCTCTATATATATATTTATTTATTTATTTATTTATTTTATATATATATACTTATATATAAAAACATGTATATTTTTATTTTTGTTTCAGGTTAATTTGAGGATACAAAGAACTAGGTCACAATATTTGCATGTGAGTCCCTTTTACATTTGTGTCCTGCACCCCAGAGGGGTGCTAAATACCTTAATACTGTGCCCATTATCTGGAAGCATTCCCCTTCCCCTCCCTCCTTCCCTCTCTCCACTCCCTTCTCCCCTCCCACCGCCTTGAATTGATTTGAGTTTTTCTCTTCAGATTTTTAGAACCCATGTGATTAATATTCCAGGATGATCGCCTTATTTCAAGGTCAGCTGCTTAGCAAGAGTAATTCCATTTTGCCATACAAAGTAACACATATAATAGACATGACTCTTGAGGGCAGAGATCCTGTGGCAGGAATCCTGCCAGCAGCAAATGCCGATATTGAATGTCCAAACTTCCCTAAACGGCCTCTCATGCCCATCCTTGTTCTTCTTTTTTGTGTACCCAGATAATGAAGTTTTGAGAATCACACTCTGTCAAGGAAACTTTCTTAGGAGTAAGTCCTTATGTGATTAATCCTGGAGGTATAAAGGATTATTGTGTTACTTGTTTAAATCAGCACTAGCTACTTCCAAGTCTAAGAGATGACACTTATCTTTCATGCTACCCAGAACAGGTGTGGGTTGGTGGAAAAGTCAAGAAATACCAGGTAAAAAAATGAAGCTGAACTTCAGTCTAGTCAATTCATTTGACTAAGCAGCCTGCGAATGAGGCCCATGTCACTGATGAAGTGTCCTTATGGGCCAATTATCTTCAAAGATGGGAATATTCTTTGCACCTTGAGTGCAGATGACACTCTTAATTCTAAGCAACCAGCTCACAAATGTATGTTTTTAATTATAAGGAGAAATGAGGGAAAGTGTTTCAGAAGGACCAGGTTAAGTCTATTTAAATGTCTATTTAAATCATAACCTTTCAGATTTTAGTTACTGGAACTAGTACTTTTTCCACAAGTTATAATCTCTTGGGTGCTATTCACGAATTTGTCACCTAATTTCCTCTCTTGATTAAACATTCTAAATTTAACTGCAGGAAAGGAAAAATGCAAACTATTTTAAAATTTCAAAAAGACCTTCAAATGCTGCAAGGACTGGTTAAATGTAAGGTTTGCCTAGACAATTGCAAAAGTGTCCTCTCTGGTCTCCCCATCCCCAGCCTCCTCCACGCTGCTGCCAGAAATATCCCCCCAAAGCACACATCAGTCATTCCACAGTCTTACTGAAAAGTCGTAAATAGTTCCTCACTGCCTCCAAAATAAGGTCCACACTCTTCTGACTGGCTTCCTTATCCCTCACCATCTGGTCTCAGCCTACCTTTCCAACCTTTCCCAATTGAGTTGCCTGCTGCCACCAAGCACCTCAGACTTCTTGCCATTCCCAAAACACCTCTGACAGCATCCCGGATGAGTTCCTCAGACAGGAAGCCACTGCCTCCCATATCTACCAGCGGAAATCCAACCTTTCTTTCCACACTCAGCCTGAATGTCATGTGCCCCCAGGAATTAATCACACCTTCCTTGGTGCTGCCATATATTCTACTTTTACCTCTATCATAGACAGTATTCTACTCCATCTGGGGTCAAGGTCAGTTGTTCATGTGTCTGCCTCCTTCCCTCTAGCCCAGCGGTTCTCAACCTGTGGGTTGCGACCCACAGGAATTGTATTAAAGGGCCCGCGGCATTAGGAAGGTTGAGAACCACTGCTCTAGCCAGCAGCTATAGCGCACTGCCTTCTGCACCCTCACCTTGCTCCTCCCTCCTACAGCCTGTGCCTGCCCTGGTGCTTTGAAAGGCTCAGGAAACACCAGACAATCAAATTAAACGTGTCACATCTAATACTGAAGATACTCCCTGAGTTTAGGAAACCATTTCTTCAGGATGTATTAACTAACCAGTCTTCAGACGCCATTTGGCTAGAGACGCACTGTCATCATATCTTCCAGAATGTAACACAATGTGATGGGAATAAGACTTATCCTTTTATAAATAGATCTTTTTTGCATTCTACACACAAAAGCTGTTAAAACAAGGTTCCTTTTCTGGTAATGGTCAATAAGAGCTTATGGGACTGATCTTTCCACAGATTAACAAACTCTGGTTAAAAAATTTTTTTCTTTTTTTGTAAAACCCACCCAGCTACCTGAAGGCTCTGAAAATTGACCAAAAACTAGACACATTCTGGGTATCCAAGGAACAGCATGGGGTACACATTTACAATGTTGTGACTTTTAGCTTGAAGGCAGGGCCCAGCCTGTGGCCATGTGGCCCGGCAGGAGTGCCAACAGGAAACCCACAGTCTTTCTGCTTGGGAGAGCCAGAGGACAGATTGGGGACATCCCAGAAAGGAAGGGGACCTCAGAAAGGAGAGACACAGAGAGGAATAATCCTAAATTCTGGGTCACTCCTGCATTACCCGTATCCAAGACAGACAACCAATAGCCTCGAGGGGCTTTGTGGGTGCTAGTCATGTTGTGCATCTTGACAGGGGTTTGGGTTACACAGGTATATGCATTCATCAAAGTTCATCACATGGTACATTTCCTTTTATAGAAATTTTGCCTTAAAAAACTGCAAAGATTGAACTTTAATGACATGCAGTTAGAATTATTTCAAAGATAGTCTACTGATAGCTGCCACTATCCTCTGCAATACATGATTTTTAAAAAAAAAGATGGATATTGAATGGGCTGAGTAACAAGAACAGACACACACACTAATGCTGACACAGGAAACGGTTCATTGTAGAATCCAAGTGGAGGGTATACAGATATTTGCTGGTAAGATCCCCGCATTTTTCTGTACACTTGAAACTTTCACAATAAAATGTTGGCAAAAGTTAAAAGGATGCATCACAACTTGGAATTTGCTGCCTCAAAAAGCTGCAAAAGTAAATCAACAATATTTGCAGGCATCAACAAGGAGGGATCCAGGAATTCATTGTGGAATTGTAAACAAAAAAAGCACTTAGGTAAGAGCTTGGTAAAACATGTTTGCTGCCCAGTAGGAAAAAGCATGTACTACAGTTGACCTTAGAGGATCATGGAAATAAATTCCTCATCTCAGGGAAATGTTTTGGTGACATATTTTATTTTCATAGTGTTCACAGGGCTATCCTGGTAGTCTCTGGGGTTAGTGATGCTAGATGGCACCTCAGGAGAAGCTTCGATTCTGAGTTCAGCTTCCAGGGAGCCAGGCTTCAAGCACCAGAAGGGCCACACAAACATAAGAGTGCACGTGAATGAGAATGAGCACGCCTTTGTACTGGCCCCAAAACATAGTCCTCTGGGTCAACAAGAAGTCAAAGAAATGCCCGATCCCTGTGCTTCAGAAAGGGCAGCATCTGATGTCATCTGAGCACTGAGGGAGGAGAGAAGTGTCCTACTTAGAGTGCACCCTGCAGATAAATGGTTCTAACAAGAGCCAGCCCACGGAAAAAGAGGCGCAGAGATTTCAAATAGCCAAGACTCATGAACCTTATAAATCCTGAATAATGCAACATCACACACTATTCCTTATTCCTAAATAAATACAGCACCCCCCTCAAATAAAAAAGAAACGTAACAATAAACTACTTATTTGGGCCAGGGTAGAAAAGGGATACTAGGTACATGCCGTCTACATGGCATATATTTTGCCGCATATTTCCTCTATATCTACATGTATTTTAGAAGTATTAACTACACAAAATTATCACTTGATAGGACTTACAAATACAGAAATTGAAACCATGTTTATATTTCCTCTGGCTATATCCTGGAAGTTCCTCAGACAAAATGTGAAAGACATCTGAGTTTGCCATTTCTGGGGCCTATGTTAACGCCATCTCACTCTCTCTCCCTATTCTCCCTCCTATAGCTAATACCTACAGTGGGAATGACAGTGGTTATGTCTTGTACACTCTGGTAGGGAGAACAACATTTAAACAGAATAAGAAGGGGGGAAAAAGGTCTGTTCCAGGACCTACCTGTCTCATTATACATAACTTAAGGACTGAAGATTTTAAACAACATTTCTACCCATCTATAAAAAGAGAACCATCACATCTCGTGTGTGCTTACTCTGATTCGACATTTTTTCCAACCTATTTGGACGTACTTTGCTCATTTAAGCAGGCTCTCTGGATTGGCTGCTTGGAGGTTAATTCTGCCCGATTTGTTTCACCAGTGCTTTTGAAACAGAGTGAGGCAATAATGCACGTCTGTTTCGGGCAACTAACCAAGAGACCACCCGCCCCCTGAGTAAAGGTATCTCAACCCTGCCCAGGGCTTTGATCTGTTTTCAGTTTTTAAATGTTCCCTGTTGCCTAGTGGGGAGCTAAGTGACTTTGCTTCAATAGACATTATGTCACCCCTCAGCTCTTATGTAAACAGAATGTCTAACACCTTCACAATGTATGCCAAGCTAGCGAGCCTGAAGTGGAAGCTGACAAGATAAGTATTTTGCATCTGCACCTGCAGAAGGAGTGGTGCCTGCTCCTGGGAGCTTTTTGCCTGGTGCAATCAGGCAATTTAAATTTAGACTCGGCAGCACTTCTTTCTGACTCCTATTCATAATTATTAAAGTCACAGTGACATCTGATAGAAGGAAAATAATATTTCTGCTTTCTGAGGCCTTTTTTCCAAACCATCTAGAAAGTCACAGAACACAAACCCTGCGAGGAGAAGGCAACTTCTCTTTTTATAACCACTGCTACGTATGTAACTTAGTAAGCACCTACACCTGATGCTTTATAGTTCATAATCCGCTCATCCAAATGTTTAGTTTTATTAGTAATGGCAGAAAAAGTAAGATGGCATGCACCAATTTTATCTTAGAGAAACTGACCTCTTTCATTGGATATGCATTCAGTGAGTATCAACTAAAGAAAGGCACCGCACTTGGTGCTTGCAGGACGGGGGACATCTCAAAGGTGAATGAAGCACTAGCACAAGGCAGGAATCAGAGAAGTCAGTGGTGAAGGCGATTTGGCCAAAGTCACACAGCTGGGGGGTGGCAGAGCCAACATGGGGGCTCAAGGCTCCCAATTCCTTCTCCTCAGCCACATGGAGCTCCCTTGCGAGCAGGCATCCGAAATCAGACCGCTGCTCTGTGGCGCTGTGCCCTAGAGTCAGTCTCCTGTCATTTGGCCCCAACGTTCTGCCCAAGAGTCAGAGATGGGGATAAGCAACTCTCAGAAAGGCTTTCTTGATGAGGTGGCAATTGAGCTGGGGTTTAAAGAACACACAGAACTGAAAACACAGAAATGAGCAGTTTTGCAGAGGAAATGGGCAAAATCATGGAGCAGAATCTGCTGACTAGAGAACAAAGGATGAAGGGAGGAGAGGAAATCAAATGGGGGCTGAAGTCAGAGGCTTTCGGCTGAATGCAGTGGGCCATAAGGAGCCAACGAAGGTGCAGGAGGAAGGACAATGGACCACATCTGCACTACAGGAATCCCAACAGAAAAACAGGGAACAGCAGGGAAAACAGTGTGAAAGTCAGGGCCAAGGATCGTGAAGACCTCTTCTGGGGAAGTTGACGGGTGGGAGGAGGATGGGCAGATGGAGAAGCAGAAACAGCAAGTCTGGCACTGACTGGATGTGGGGGTACGACCAGACTGAAGTTCAACCTGGCGCTGTGGGTCTCTAATCTCAGTCCCTGCTCTCATCACCAAGTGAGCTTGTTAAAATGTTGGTAGAGTCACACCTATTGGTAGTTGGAAGTTGGTAGAGTCAACTTCTTCTATTGGTGTGACTGAAGAAGTTGAAGTCTAACCTGGTGCTGTGGGTCTCCAGTCTCAGTCCCTGCTCTTGTCACCAAGCGAGTGTGTTTAAATGTCAGCAGATTCCTATCTATTGGGTACAGTGCACAATCTGGGTGAAAGGCACACTTACATATGCAACTTTGACTTTACCTGTACAAAGACAAAGTATGTAAACAAAACATCTGTACCCCCTAACATTCTGAAATTAAAAAAAAATGTTATGTCCCCATCCCCAAAGACCCCAAGGCAGGTGCAGGGCCCAAGAAGCTACTTCTTAATAGAGCTATGCTGATCCACAAGCTCTTTGCTACTTACTGGCTTATAGAGAAAAGTCCAGAAATGGAGAGTATTTAGATGGTTTGGCAGCCAGTTGACAGATATTTTTATATTAGTGGAACCTAATCATTAAAAGTTAAGGCTTGATCTTATATTTGAGTTTTTAATGTCACTTTTCTGGTAATTCATTTTTAATGAAATTTACAAAAGAATGGGTCTACATAAATTAAAACATACTTTTAATGGTGATTCTTGCACAGCTTGAGAAGCACTGGCTGCTCATTGAGTTCAGGTACAGGGCCATACTTGGGCCATGCTCTGAATAGACTGGTCAGTGAAAGAGAAGGGACACACACGAGGACGTGCTCAGTTCTGGGAGGACTCCCTGCAGCTGCGTCAGGCCGTGGAGCCTCCCTGGTGGGTCTCCTGAGAGCCAGTGCCTATCTGTTACCCTGTCCCATGGTCACATAGTACATACTCCCTCACTCCTTCTCCTGGGGGTCACTGCCTCTCTGCCCCCAGCCCTCTGCCTATATCCTAACTCAGCCCGGGGGTAGGTCACATGCCATAGGCCAACCCTTCTGAATCTTTTGCTGTATTTCAGAAAAAGTCCCAAAATACATCAGCAGGCTTTGAGACACAACAGGAGCCAAGGGTGAGCTGACCGTTATAGGAATGAAGAAGAGAGCTTTTTCAAAGGGCTTGATCAAGGCTTTCGGAGAGGAGGATGAGAGCGCAAGACAGAGTCACTGAAGCTGCCTTCATTGAAACAATTTCAGCAGAGGGCTGGGGATGGACGTCAGCCCATGAGGGCAGAGGAAGGACATAGCAGGAAGGGAAGAGCAGCTCCCTCACCAGAGGCAGGTAGGGGATGGTTGAGTAATTTCACCAAATTGTTCTATGACGTGACTGAGCACAATTTGGAACAATCTCTTAACACTATTGTAAATAGTAATTTTCTCCAAAAACTTCCAAATTCTCCCCTATTTTGCTATCAACTAGAGCTTAGTGTATATGTGCAGCTGTGAGTCTAAGTGTTGCCTTGCTGAGATAATAAGTGACATCAGCCATTCTTTAAGGCAAAGGGCCATAAAGAATACTTATGTTTTCATGTAAAAAAAAGTGCACTTTCTATTTGAGCTCACAGAACACTTAGGGAAGGATGAGCAAAGGGAAAAGTTGGGGGTAAATTGGAGGCTACTTTCTCAAAGTTTTTGGACGCGTGCCCTACCTAAATTGCCTGAAATTGAAACAGAAACACAGGGAGGCATCTTTCTGCTGTTTTCCAGAAGGATGTAATCTTTTAAACGTGAGTCTTTAGAAACAAGATGTTGACAGGGTCACCAACAACTCAAAACTACCGCAAATGCTTGCTTTCAAAATTTGAAAACAGGTCTGCTTGTTATTTTTATTTTTCCAAAAATCAATGTAGAAAGTGAGATTTAGGGC